GGTCGTCTCCTGTCACTCTCTCCATAATCCCAGTTCACTGTGGCAGCATCAGGCAAACGGCCACCATCCTGTCCATGAACAAGTCTTGTCTGAGGACGGGGGACAAGGCCCTGGTTCACTTCCGCTTCATTAAGACGCCAGAGTACCTGCACTGTGACCAGAAGCTGGTGTTCAGGGAGGGTCGCACCAAAGCCGTGGGCACCATCACCAAGGTAACGGAACAGAATGTTGTCGTTTTTTTTTTCCCCCACTGATTGTCATTTCATTTGTCTGAGAAAAACTGGAGAAATCATCATCACCTGTGTTTTCAGCTCCTCTTCTCAGTCAGCAACCAGGCGGCAAAATCCCAGCAGTCCAGGTCACAGGTCAACAGGAAGACGGCGGCCAATGAGGAGGTCAGGTCGACTGCACGACCGCCGAGCCCCAGCGCCGCGCAGCTGCCAGTGAGTGATGTGTGATGATGCCGTGGAGTGTGTTTTACTGCGTTTCAAAAGTTCACAGTATCAACAATGCAGTATTTTAACATTACCAATATTTATAAAAACTTTGATCATTCTCCTTATTAATTTATATATATATATATTTATTATGAAATATTATAATCGTCTAGTTTAAATTTACTCTTATGGGCAGGAATTGATGAAAGACAATGATTTTCTTCAATAGCTCTGATTCTCTTTTTTTTAGTTTTCGTAGTCATCGGCTGCCATCTAGTGGAAGAGTATTTAAATTGTTCTGCCTGACAGAGTTATTGGCAGTAAATAGATAATAGCTCCACCTCCTTGTGTGTAATGTGTCTGATGACATCATCACCTTGCCCTCCCCTCCTTCACCTCCCTCTCTCTCCCTCCCTGTCTCGTCATGCTGCGTCAGACAGAGGAGGTTCATCTGTGTAGAGAAGGCAACAAAGAGAACGAGGTAAAGTCGTGGCTGTCGTACGACGACGACAACGACGACGTTTTTAAAGAGTCCAGATTATCACGACACCACTTTTTTTGTTTTGTTTTGCATGTCTTGTCATTATGAAGTAGCCGTGACCTTTGTGTGGTTGTCACCCTCCTCCCCCGTCCTCCCCCAGTTAGTTTATATACCTGTAGGTGTTCTGTTACATCCCATGTTCAGCCTCCACGTGGGTGTGAACTTGATGAAGTAAAACTGTAGTGTGAATCCGCAGCATCTCAGTCGCCACCTACTGGCCCTCTGTCAGATCTTCTGTTATAAAATAAACACAATTTAAATATAATTTACTAAATAAATAAATTAATACAAAATATTATTGAGTTATTTACCTTCTCACCACTCAGAGGTGTGCACCGATGGGTTTAATTATGAATTTTATTTGATAAAATTAGCCAGAGATCCTTGATTGACAGCCTGATTGATTTTCTTTTGGCTGCCTCTTTGTGCAGCCTTGAGATGAGTGATGGCAGAGTTTGGCGTCTGAAGATGCTGTGGCTTCAGTTTTATTTTTTATTTTGTTATTTTACCCTCTTCACAACATCCATTTTTAGCAGGTGATAAATAACGGACAACGTTTGTTTTTTTTTATATGCTTTTCTGGAGATGCTAACTTCAGATGTTGTTTTACGCTCCCTTCTCTTTGATTGGCTAACTCCGCTGCTCTTGTCTGTCTGTCTGTTAACAGCTGAAGTCTGGAGGAGGGGGGCGCCGGCGAGGCGGTCAGAAACATCGAGGGAAAGGCCTGAACGCTGTGAACATGTCCACGGTGCCTGCAGGAGCGGCGGCGGCGGCGGTGGCCTCATCGTAAAATGTGCTTCATTTCTCCTCAGCTCCAAACAGGAAGGAAACGGTGACAGCTCCACCCAGTGGTCACTACAAACAGGTTCACTGCCCGTTCATATTCAGCCGGTCTAAATCTCAAAGAGCGACTTATTTACCCACGTTAAAGAAATGGTTGTAAAAGTTTAATTGGCGTATCAGCTGGTGGGCTGCTGACGATATTCGAGTTTCTAGTTTTATTGCGAGAAAGGACCGTTTGAAACATTGTAATTTTTTTCATTTCTCCCTACGACAAACAAGTTTTCAAAGTGTTCGTCTCGTCGTTCAGGCAGAATCATCAGACGTTCTTTTTTTGATGATGATTTTTTTTTTCAACCCAAATTTTTTGCACTTCACGACTGTTTTGATAGTAGTTGAAATTTCATTAAGTTCAAATCAGCTTCTTAGCGGAGAGTAAATACAGCCTTGTTTTCACACCGCCTTAAATAGAGACTGGGTGAAAAACTGTGATATTTTCAGCGATACTCTAGTACAGTGTGTACTTTTATTATTTCATTTCTCAACCGAAGCTCATTTTTCAGTTTAGTCTTGAGTGAAGTTCCTCGTTTCTATATGAGCAGACACCATAATCGGCAGCTTCCCCGTGACATCGTGGATCAACTAATCAGAACTGAGCGAGTCATGAAAGTGTTTGTTATTTTATTAATCAGTTACACACACACTAACTAATGGAGCAGCTGTGAACTGGGTCACTGGTTCGATGCCCCCTCCGTCTGACGTTTAAGAGGGGGGAAAAAAAGAAAAGAAAATTGTGCAGAAAAAAAAACTATAGGAAATAAAAATTGTGCCATTTAAATTAAGTGGTGCCAGTTTCTGCTGTAAATCATTTTAAATAAAAAATGTTTAAGTTGCACCGTTCTCTGTAAAGTGTTTTTTGAGGGAGTGTTCTGAGTGGACAATTGACGGAATTTTGTTTTTTGCCGTTTAAAAAAAATAATTTATACCTATATATATACATATATATATTATATATATGATATAATGTGAACAGTTTTTCAGTCTCAGCGGTCGCTCTCTGCGTGGCACGTTATTCCTTGTTATCGATGCGGGCGCCTTTCAATCAAACATGCTCAATAGTTCAGAGAGAGTCAGCCTCCCAGCCATAATTATTTTCTAACACTCCAGGCGTTTATGCAGGAGTCTTTAACAAGTGATTGCTTTGGTGGAATTTCAATCTTAGTCTCCCCGTGTGAACCTGCAGGCCTCTCTCACAGGTGCTGTTTTCCCAGATGGCATAAAAATGGAAATAGAAATGATATTTGATGCGGAGCGTGGAATGAGAGAAAGGCTTGATGAATGTCAGGGTGGAGCGTTTCATGGGTTTCACTCCGGTGGTTCATGAAAGGACTGGATAAATAATCATCTCTGTTATTTGTGTCTCTTCCCGTTTATTCATTTGATTCTTTTCACACTGCTCTGATGTCATTGGTCCAAACTACTGCAGGGTGGAGGGGCACGTCACGCAAAAGTATTTTTTACCTAACGATAGGATTAATAATTTTTTGGCAGTGTGTCACCCTGCTTCCCCACAAGGGGGCATGAGTGGTATCTAATTGCATGTTGTTTTTTATTTTTTTGGAGCAAGAAAATTGGCCATGGAAACTTCAACTGTGGAGTTACATTTGACTGGTGAATTTTGTGTGTTTTCTTTAGCTAATGCAGTATTGCATCATCTGCATACGTTTTTACAGCTATTATAGGGAGCAACGAGCAGGTGTTTTTTTACTTCAGTATCGCAGAATGTAAATCAGAATAAGTCATGACCAGAATGTAAATGTGTAAAATTGACATTAAAAATACAAAAAGTCCATAGTAATATAAACAGGATATAAAAAAATCAATCAACAAAGTCTGATTATTTAAACCTATTCAGTCAGCTCTGAAGTTACCAGGAAAAACTAATGAGGGATATAAATATAACTGTTACATACACAAAATATCCTAACAGGTGCAATGCAACATGAACTGCTTCCTAATGAGACCGTCCTGTGTATATTCATCATCATGCTAGCACAGGATTTTCTGACAACTTTTTTTATTCAGTACCACGCCTCAGTTGTAGTTACCCTGGTAACACCTTTACATGCTGGGCCTGTACCTTTAAGGCGCACAGACAGGATGCACTTTGGGTTGGTCTCCATCGATGAGCAGATGAACCTGTTTCCACCCACAGTTCGTCTGTCGGCTCGATAGAATCGATTCCTGCCCAGCATTTTGGCCGAGGCTTTGTTTGTTTATCTCTGACCACAACATGTTGTCCTCGGGAGGCCGCCGGCCTCCTGACAGGAAACAAAAGTTCACACCATTATTCATGGAAACGCCAATTAGTGGCAAACAGAGAGAAGAGAGGTGGACAGGGATCTCTCTGGCCCGGCTAGTAAACAAAATAATGTTTAAAAAAAAATCTGAATATTTCGTATATACAAAAACATAAAAAATTGTTTGTTTTTTTTGTGAGAATTGTTCAAACATTTCCTTGTAGCCATATGGTGGTTTAGTGGTTGGTGTTCTTGCTTTACACCAGCTGGTTCGATTCCCTGGTGATGATTGGTGGCGACCCAAGTCGATAGACGTTATTCGTAAAACTCCTGGGAAACATGA